TTTTTATAGCTGGACATACGATTTTAACTTAATAAAAATATGATATTTTTCGCCAGTTCCATGAACAATCATTTCCATAGGTTTTCCCTACCCTATCTAGGGGAAAATCACCCTAAGAACTTTCGTAAATCAAACGATGTTGCGACTAGTTAGGAGACTCTAGATAATGGTTCATAATAGTATTGCATGCAGCAAAAGTATCCAACTAACCCGAACCTAGCTTTTTATAACTTGATTTTGTTTTCAAAAATCATTGGTTGTGCCATTATAGGTGTACAGTACTCCTAGGATGGCACACTATCGAAATATATTTAAAAAGTTTTTTTTTTACAAATAAGCAGTATTTTATTAAGGAACAAGGAACAAATAAGTACTTCTTTAAACATTACTAGGAACATTAACAAATAAAAACGTACTAAAAGTAGGTAAGTATATTATTATGTACACACATCAATGAACTGTTTGGTTTTTCTACTGACGTCTGCGCATTGTGCATGACACCAACCAGAACAGTTCTGACATTTAATCCAAAAGTCCCTAGACCTTGAGTAGAGTTCGTTACAATGAAGGCAGGCTACGTCGGAATCATCATCATCATCATCATCATCATAAATTTCAATGTCTGCTTCATCTTCGTTCATGAATTCAATGTTAATTTTAGCTCTTCTTGCCAATGATTTGTTTCCTTGTTGATGATCTCCATTTTTTTCTTTGAGCTCGTTAATATCTGGTGTTGAATTCATCGACCATGTTTTACTTCGTTTCCGTTTCTTTTGTGTGTTCTGCGATGTTTGATGTGAAGCTTTTACCAGTGGAGACAGTTCTTCAATGAACTTTTGAAAACTGCATGAAAATCCACCCAAATTTTCTCTTGATTTCAAAACGTTTGCTTCAGCTTGATTTTTCGTGCTGTGTCATAAAATGTTATCATTTTCTATAATGAAATAACCATTCCATTATTTCCGACAACTAGACGATGATTGATGGAATTAATTCTCTCACTCATACTCATATTTAAATATTTTTTACTCAAAAAGTAATATAGGTTAATAGGGTTATGACATACTGCGAATTCAAGTTGAAATAATGCAATAATGCTCCATGTGTTATTATATTTAAAAATAAATAAAAAAAATTGATGTTTTCCAGTTTTAGTTCTAATATAATTCTAAATTGATGCATTGTTAATTAATTTATGATATAAAAAAGCATGTAATCTTTAATACTTTCTTATTGTCGTTAATATCAATAGGTGGGCCAACTGAAATGGGAAGGGGCTCGTATGCTCATCGTAACAGGTAGAAATCTCCCTTGAATTGGGGCAGGTATGTTTGTCTTCATTTATCTTATTGGAAAAAAGTGAAAAAAATTTATTTTTTAGACATCTCTTGGCAATGATTTTTTTGTGGATGGAACATTTCTATTAACTTTAACAAATAAAAAAGTTATCAAAAGTATCTAAAAAAGTAAAAAAAAAATCACATGATACAAAACTATTAATCGGCAAATATAACAAAGTGTTATTAAAATGTTAATAATAATTTTTTTAAACTTATTACCTCTGAAAAACAGCAAAAAATTGATTCAGCGCGTCATCGGGCTTTCTCTTACCCATCTTATACATTGAGTTGGAAGTGAGATAGAAGTACTTCTCTCTAAAAGTACACGCGCGTAGGAAGCATATTGTTATAACGTAAAAAAAACATAACAACAAACAAAATTTTGAAAATTTATTTAGGTTATTTTGTTTATTATAGTTTGAATATTTGGTAAGAAATTTAAAATTATAGCATTTTAAATTTTAAGGTATATTATTTAATTCAAGAAAATTAGAATTTTCGTCAATTTCGGATTTTAAAACATTCATAACAATTAAAGAGTTAAAGATACGATAATGGGCGTAAGGACTTTTTTTATTCGAAATATCCTAAAAAATATAAAAAAAATAATTAATTGCAAAAAATGCATTTTTCTGGCATAATTAATTTTTCTCTGTTTAAACAATAACATCAACAGATATCGAGTGTCATCTTACACTTTTATAATCAGGAAAGCCTTCCAGACATTTAAAAAAAAATTACGAATTAAAACAATTTTACAAACGAATGCGCCACTATGCCCTGCACTATATGTGTACGTACATATTTATTTGCATAAATCGCATAAAAATACCCCTGTTTCATAAGAGGTGCATTCTTCATGCCACCTTTCTTCGCATTTGAAACACTGAATCCATTCTTCAGCAGGTGACATGAATTTTTTAGTTATTGAAGTACGAGAAACAACCGACGGTCCAGGTTGAGGGGATAAAGATCTTAATGGGACTGTTATTTTCTTCCTTTTGCTTAATTTAGCTAATTCTTCGTTTTGTTTGTTTTCCAAATCTTCTTTAAATGGACTTGAAGTTATTATTTCCGATTTTAGGGCTTTTCCTTTTCTTTTCTCTGTGTCAGTTCTTTTTGGCAGTAAGTGCAATATGTTCAGTTTTCTCTGTCTTTAAAACTTGTGGTATTTTGAAAACCTGATCAACAACTCTTTGATTTGGCGGGTCAATTTTTATATTGTCTGATGTCTGATTATTTTCTGGTTCATTTTCATTTCTTTGGTTTGGCGAGTCAGTATTTATATTGTCTGTCTGATCATTTTTTGGTTTATTTTCACCTCCTTGGACTGGTGGGATAATATTTATATTGTCAGTTACAGTAGCTGGGAGGAAGTTATGCTCTTGAAAAATGCCGTCGTTAAATGGATAAATTCCAGTCACTGAAAATCCTGAGGCAGCATTACCGACTGTAGCAACTTGTTTGTAGGCTTCATTAAAAAGAACAGCTACTTTATATTGTGTAATAGCCCTCCCAGGATATTGAGTCATCCAACGGTCACACTCGATGGTATACTTGGCCTTAAGAGGACCAAAAATACTCCTGTCTAATGGTTGGACTTTTTAGCTGCTGTGCAGAGCTAAAGTAATAACTGAAATGCCATGTCCTCTGCAGTAAAGAGATGCTTCCAAATTAATATGGGATGAGTGATTGTCTAGAATTAGTAAGACAGGAGAATCTTTCGTAGGATAAACATGATACTTGAAATGATATAACCAATTCATGAACAGATCTGAATTTATGAATCCGGAATCAGATACCATACCAACACACCCGGTGGGCCCTGCATCCAGGAGCTCACCCTTCATCCTTTTCCTCGGAAAAATGAAGACAGGTGGTATAAACTGACCAGTGGCGCTCATGCAATAAACGGCGGTTATTGTAATGCCTCTCTCTGAAGATACAACTTTTCCTACAACTTTTTTTTCTTTCACGTATACGACTCTGGGTGTCTTTTTGGGAACCGTACTCATCCCAGTTTCATCCATGTAAAAGATGCGATTCGGGTTAACATTGTATTTTTTATACAGTTCCTTTAAGTTACCAAAGAATCTGTTAGGAATTTTATTTAGGTTTGTATACTGGAAAACAAGTCTTCGCAATGACTGAATTGTGATTCCTTAATAAAGACTGTCCATGTATAAACAATATTCAACGATCTCATTTGCTTGAACACTTGCAAAAGTAGGCTTAAAACGTCCTAAAGACGTTGCAACACACTGTAAAGGCAGTCTTTTTCTAAGAGCACCTTTGCTGATCCCAACTCTATCAGCGGCTCCCCGTTGACTCACACCTTGTTCCATAAGTCTTTTTGCCTCATCTATTTTCTCCTGGGTGACTAGCCGCTTATCTGGATTTTTTTCTTTGATAGTTACGAGGCATTTCCCTGAAAAAAAAAAAAACTCTGAGTAAGTATACGCACACACGGGTAAGTGTGCGCATGCATACACTTAACTGCATACAGTTACCCCAACAACAAATAATTTTAAAAAGTCTCAAATTTGAGGTTACACAAACAACGTGCAAATTATATTCAGATATGAAATTAAACTTAAATGCATATATATTTCATAAAATGTGTACTTACGTTACGTTTGTTGATCAACACCGAGAAACAGATACTAATAGTTTGTCGAAAATTTTAGCAAAATTGCCGATATTTTATATTTGTTAGTATTTCATAAACGAAAGCCGCTGCAGCCGGTCACACCTCCGATTCTTACGATGGCCGACGATGTACTAAATTACATTTAATTAAAGTGAGTGCTGCCGCCTTACTCATGTACTGAAGATAGCGTCTGCGCACACTTACCAGCTGCGACTACGTACCCCAAGAGACTCTATAGCTTTGTGTTGGTTCACTTTCGTTACTAGAACTATTCCAGAACCTTTGGAGCATGCGCAGTAGATATTTGCTGTTTTGGTTTCGCCAGAACCTGTAAGTTCTGTGTTTTGGTTTTTCTTGTTCCATAACCGTTCTCGAACAGTAACGTCGGTTCTGGCCTAAAGCGAGAACTGTTTCAGAATTGATATGTTTGCGCTAGCGCTTTTTTACAAGTAATTTTGTTTTTGAGATCCTGGACATGTTTTGTGTTGGAATTTTTACAAGAAATTTTCGAATGACTAATAAGAATGGAGCACTTGATTAGTTGATATTGGGTCATAACATTTTTTACGAATAAATTTTTTAATTTATCTACGTTTTACAACAATATGTGGCCTCTTTCTTACCTAGACACTGACCCTGTGTTATTTCTTCTTTTTTATTTAAAATTTACTTTTTGACATTTAACTGTCCTGGCAGTGTTTTGGTTTCGAATACAAAGGAATGGTTACAGAACTGTTCAGAATTAATGACCATTGCGCAATAGTTCTGCGCATGGTTCTGGAACAATTCTAGAACGAAAACAAACCTTATGTCATCGGCATCAACTGTTATTTATAATTATTAGCCTAGGCCTTTGTAAATGTTTCCCAGCGCTACTTTAGGAACAGCACTGTCAATTAGAACCCAACAGTGAATGGTCGTTTGGGGAATCCTACCTATGTATTAGGATTAATATTTAATTTGTTAAATTATATAAAAATTCGATCTTAAAGTCATGACCGATACATCCCCTTTAAGTGATTTAAACTTAAAATTTATTGAAATGTAGTTTTAAGTAATCTATTATTGCCATAAAAGTCGATTGCTTTATTTGTTGTAGATAACATTTAATTTGAATAAATGTTAGTGGCTTTGCCGATGTGATGTATTAAATAGCATACAGGATTTTGATGTTTTAAAATTAATTAAATTTAATAGTAGGTAGGTACTTAATTAAACGCATAGTAGGTGCATACATTTTTGTAATATTTTAGAAAGTGTTAAACTTTATTAAATAATGGATACATCGAAAAAACACGTCAAGCCTTCTCCCGAGGAACACGCTACTATATTTTCAAAGCTTTTTTATTGGTGAGTAGAATATTTTTTTTTTAATTAATAATCCCACAGACTCTTCTCCAGGGGAGGCCGGTACAAATTAGAGCTGAACCTCAAAATAATACCACGTTACATACTTCATTTAGTTTACTATTTAAGAAATTTGCTCTCTAGTTATTATTGTTTAAGCATAATTGCAAAAATCAGTTGACACAAGTTGCTATTTTAAAATGTGGAATAATTTTTTCTAAAAACTGGTAAAGAACCTTTTTTACGGAGAAATGGTACTTGAATAAATTTTTAAAATTTTTCTTATACAATACAATACTTTCTAAACAAAAGCGTCCACCTATGGCTATGGGCACATATTTTTTTTAATGGCACTAGTTTTATTTTTCTTCGTGATAAAAAATTAAAGAGTACTTTATTGAACAAAGTCAAGCAAAATAATAAATATTTTTTATTTATCTGTTGTTTTGTTGTTTACGTCTAGAATATTTATAATATTATGATAAGATAGTTATTTGTTTTACTTTAAAAACACATAATTCTTCCCTCCTTATCAAAATCATTAACATATTTAAAAAATGTACGGGGTCCTTGCAATTTGTAATTTTATTACAGTAAAATATTTTATTTAATTACTGTGGTAATTTAAATGCAACAACCCTGTATTTTATGGTACCAATATGAAGGAAATTTTATTAAGGTTAAAAGTTCTATGGAGTTCCCTAAATATATACTTACCCATATCTACTATTACCACAAAGTTTGATTTTATTATGCTCGTCACTTGGCGGTTCCAAGCGGACAGGAGCACAAATTAAAAAAAGTTGTAAGCAGAAAATAGTTTTCTAGATGCCGGTAAAAGAAGTTGGGATTGTTTGTTCAACCGTACAACGTTGTCATTTTGCGAATTTTTTGGATCGTACATCGTCTCTATTTAACAAAACTGGCAACTATCGAATAATAGTTTACCAGCTTTATAATTACGATAAGAAGTCTTGAAGTTGGTCTACCATATTACGCATATTTCATGTTTAAAGTGAATTCAAGCCATCGGTAGGTATTTAAAATTTTTATCTTTTTGTAGGTAAATCGCTAATTTTCTCATTCTTCTTCGTATAAATATGATAAAAATAATAAAATCGTATGAATGTTTGTTAACCCAAACCGTAATTTACGAAATTATTATACTTATAAGAAATGAATCGAGAGTATTTAAAGTGTGTAAATTGAGTTTTATTAATAAAACACTGTAAAAATTAGTCTAAGCGCTTTCAGCCTATTAGGCCATCATCAGAGACTTCGTCAAAAACTATAGGAGAAGCATGAAAATTGAACTAAATTAAAAAGGACAGCAACAAACCGGTCCCCAGTCTCCACCATAGCTTGCAGCTTGGATAATAAAAAATAAAAGAACCACACCGAAAATGTGGTTAAATTTTAAGAAATGACGTGGGGGCTTGTGCCTCTCTCTTTGCACATAAAAAATTATCGTATTATCTTTAAAATTGTGTCTTCTAAGATTACACCAAAATGCCTATTTATACAAATTTCTTGTTATTGTCAACGGTCAGCGGAGCAATAACTCTTAACAATATTACAAAAATCGGTTTTCTTTGCTTTGACATATTTTTAAATCTAATGAAAATAATACAGAGTGGAATAAAAATGGCAACTTTCAATATGTTTATTCTGCCATCTATTTTAAACTAGCAAAAGCTCCAACCGTCTCTAGCTTAAAGAGACCCAATTTGACTGACCACGTGGTGGTGGTCTCCTGTTGGTATCAAACAAATAAATGCATTGGGCTGACCTACTAGGACTACTTATACAATGCTATTACCAATAGTTTCAGTGAATTAATAAATTTTAAACGTCTACTAATAATTTTATTTTAACAAAGCTATTAAATAAAATTGAGCCCGTATATATTTAGAGGAACATAAGGAAAGTGTGCGGTCCTTTCATGTGCTTCATTTTGTGAAAGCGTGTTGGAAGAATACCAGTTTCATAATCCTACAAAAGATAACTACAAACAGTGTTACAAATTAAGTGTTTAACATTGTATATTCTATATATCCTCCAATTTAATTTATAACGGCTTAGTAATAAAACAATGTATATCATAAAAACAAATAATTGCAACAATGAATTAAATGTATTTACAGTATATTATAACTATATTACAAGCCTGTCTGCCAGTATAATGGAAATAATAATAATAAAGTAAATTTTAAAAAGCATTACTACTTAGGGAGAGGCAGAATTAGTAGTTTGTGCAACAAGAGGGGATATGATTGCCTACGTTTAATCTTATGTTGAGAATGGGGTGTTAATACACTGCGACCTAAAAGATCTATTGTGCCCCCTTCTGTCGCCACTGCACCAAGGAAATGTCTCAATGCCTATAGCGACCCTTCCAATCCTATTTTCTCAAGGAAGTGTAGGATTTGAAGTGGCTTCAAGTTAGGTAAATCTCCCTCTTCTATTTGACATCCTCTTGGATTTTGAAGTGGTACACATTCAGTTAGGATGTGAATGGAGGTTTCGTTTTCCTCCTCACAGAATCTGCACTCACTATCCTCTACTACTCTCAGTTTACTTAGGTGTCCTTTTAGTCGGAAATGCCCGGTAAGGATTCCTGGTACATTACGTAGCCTGTTCTTGCTCAGGCAGATGCAGGCTTCCGATCTTTTCTGGTTATATTCACCCAGAAGTATCTTGGCCTGTCAGCCCCAAGAGATTGTTCCAATTATCGGTTCTTCTACTGCCCAATTCTTTTTTAATCTCTCCAAATATTATGTTACTACTGATACCGCAGAACGGCTCAGGTCCTACAAAGGGTGTTTGAGCCCCTTTCCTTGCAAGACTATCTGCAATCTTGTTACCCTGTACCCCGTTATGTCCCGGGACCCAAGTGAGAGTAATTCTATTTTTCTCGCCTAGCTCATTCAATTGTTCTAGGCATCTCCAGACCATTTTTGTGCTGATTACGTAAGAGCTCAGCGCTTTAATGGCTACTTGACTATCGGACATGATGATAATCTCTTGTCTATGATAGTTTCTCTCGATGTTAAACTGGATACACTTCTCTATGGCGTGAATTTCCGCCTGGAAGAGGCTTTTGGGTATTTTCCCAAGCTTTCGGAGTGCTTGGTTCTCGGCCCATACACTCCTATTCCAGTATTCCAGTTCCTTCTATGGTTTTGGAACCGTCCGTATACCGCTAAATAGCACGTCTTTCGGTTGCAAGCACGATGGATTCTTGGCTCCATTCTTTCTTGCAGCCCAGCTCCATGGTTTTGAAGTTCTTCACAAAACTGTACTTCTTTTGCATTTCATCCTGGGGCATGTCCCAGGTATCTTTATTCCTGAAGCAAGTAGACTTTCGTCTGATTACTTCATTCCTGATCATTCTATATCGTGACCTTTTTGCCACATTCTCTATCATCAAATGTAGAGGGGTGAGGTTTAAGATCATCTCCATTGCGGCCGTAGGACAGGTTCTCATTGCACCAGTAATGCAAATACAGGCTAGTCTTTGTACTTTTGAGATATTAGCTCTCGTAGTAGCTAAACTAGTTCTGTTACTCCAGGCTATAGCCCCGTAAGTGATGATTGGTCTCACTATTGCAGTATACATCCATCGCAGTATGTTTGGGTTACATCCCCATCGTTTACCTGCAATGTTCCTGCATACCATTAGGGCTTTTGTGGCTTTATTTACTACTTTCTTCTCATGTGTGTTCCAGAGAAGTTTGTTGTTCAGGATTAGGCCTAGACATTTGACTTCATTTTTCCATTCTATATCTATCCCGTCTAATTTAACGGTTTTGAGATCAAGTTTTCTTTTTCTTGAAAAGGCTACTAGTGTTGTTTTTGTAGGGTTTATACTAAGTCCCACTTCACGGCATCATCTTTTGATATGTTCTAGTCCTCGTTGAACTATATCACACAGGATATTACTAAACTTGCCACTAGCAAATATGAGTATGTTGTCGGCATAACAGGGTATGCCGAGGTCAGTCAATCTGCATAGAAGTTCGTCTACGATTAGGCTCCACATTAGTGGGGATAGAACTACTCCTTGTGGACATCCTCTGGTTGTGCAGATGGAGATGGTATCCTGCCTTACCTGTGTCTCTGCAGGTCTCGTAGATAACAGCTGAGCCATCCATCTGGATGTGATGTTATCTACTCCTCTGTATGCTCTTATACAGATTCGTGTGGCGTGTTGTCAAAAGCTCCTTCTATGTCTAGGAAGACACACACGACCGTTTCTTTGTTTGTCAGTGCATCCTGGATTACATCAGTCAACTGTACCAGGGCAGTTTCTGTAGATCTTCCTGCTCGGTACGCGTGTTGGCTGTGGTGGAGTGGCACCCTCTCCAGGACTTCTGTTCTGATATAATTATCAAGAGCCTTCTCCATTGTTTTTAATACAAAGGATGTGAGGCTGATTGGACGGAAAGATTTGGGATGTGTAGTATCCTTTTTCCCTACTTTTGGAATAAAGGTGACTCTGGCCCTTCTTCATGCTTCTGGTATATATCCCAGCTCCAGACTGCTCCGGGATACTTGGATTATGTGTGGTAGTAATTCCTCCTGTGCCTGTTGAAGCAGGGCAGGAAATATTCCATCCACACCTGGAGACTTAAACGGTTCAAAAGTGTTTACGGTCCACCTTAACCGATTTCTGCTGCATATGTGTTTGGCCACTACAGCGGCCTCTCTTGGAGGTGTGTTTACCTTAGTTGTGACCCTTATTAGAAAAGGTGTGCTTCCAGGAAAGTGAGTTTCGAGTAAGAGGCGAGCTCTTTCCTCCTCACTCTCCCTGAAGCTTCCATTTGGTTTCTTTAATGCCATAACTGTATCAACTCTCCCTTTTGCCAGGGCCCTGTGCAGTCTCGCTGCCGCAGGTGTACAGTTAATATCCTCGCAGAATTTTGTAAAGCTGTTACGTTTAGCTTTCCTGATTTCTTTGTTGTAGGTAGTAAGTGCCTCGGTGTAGCTCTGCCAATCTCCGCTGTGCTTGGCCCTATTATAGAGCTTCCGCACTTCGGATCGTAAGTTTGACAGATGACATGTAATGTTAAAATGTGAAATCAGCAAGCCGTAAATATATAAAATTCAAAATATTTAAAATAAAAATAATTAAAAATTAATTAAAAATTATTTAAAAATTAAATTAATTAAAAATTAAATTAATTAAAAATTAAATTAATTAAAAATTAATTAAAATTTAATTAAAAATTAATTAAAAATTAATTAAAAATTAATTAAAAATTAATTAAAAATTAATTAATTATTAATTAAAAATTAATTAAAAATTAATTAAAAATTAATTAAAAATTAATTAAAAATTAATTAAAAATTAATTAAAAATTAATTAACAATTAATTAAAAATTAATTAAAAATTAATTAAAAATTAATTAAAAATTAATTAAAAATTAATTAAAAATTAATTAAAAATTAATTAAAAATTAATTAAAAATTAATTAAAAATTAATTAAAAATTAATTAAAAATTAATTAAAAATTAATTAAAAATTAATTAAAAATTAATTAAAAATTAATTAAAAATTAATTAAAAATTAATTAAAAATTAATTAAAAATTAATTAAAAATTAATTAAAAATTAATTAAAAATTAATTAAAAATTAATTAAAAATTAATTAAAAATTAATTAATAAATAATTAAAAATTAATTAAAAATTAATTAAAAATTAATTAATAAATAATTAAAAATTAATTAAAAATTAATTAAAAATTAATTAAAAATTAATTAAAAATTAATTAAAAATTAATTAAAAATTAATTAAAAATTAATTAAAAATTAATTAAAAATTAATTAAAAATTAATTAAAAATTAATTAAAAATTAATTAAAAATTAATTAAAAATTAATTAAAAATTAATTAAAAATTAATTAAAAATTAATTAAAAATTAATTAAAAATTAATTAAAAATTAATTAAAAATTAATTAAAAATTAATTAAAAATTAATTAAAAATTAATTAAAAATTAATTAAATATTATAAACAGGTACGGTCCTGCACAGTAATGGAACGCCTCGACTATTATAATTTTTTTAGAAAAATGAAATCTGCCTTCGCTCTCAAATTATGCGAACTACCCTACAAATTTGGACGCCAAGTTCGGAAACACCCTGTATATATGATCTATTTTGACATTTTCTAGCGATTTTGTTAATTCTATTGCAACAACAAAAATATCTAGATGTAATTTTGATTTTACCATTTATGTAAAATATACTAGGAATTAAAGAACAAATGAAATAGGTTGTGTAAGAAAGGAAACATTATATATTTAATATTATTCTCAAAAAAAAAAAAACAAATGTACATTCTAAACTATAATATTTGGTAAGTAGAAGAAGCTGTTACAATCTATAAAACAAAACAACAAAAATTAAATAATAACTTTTTTCCTGGCCTTTGCATTTGCAAATATTTGAATAAGTTCTGTAACATCCAACTTTTGCGCTATGTCATTTTCAATAGAAATTCGAGAGACGCTAAAATGGTGGTTCCCACCTTATCGAGATTGAGGCCCACAAGGGTAAACTCGTAGCGTAACAAAAACGAGAAATGATTTAACTTGGAACGAAATACCGAAAGCCGATAGTAGTATTAGCACGTTAAATTTTTTGGTTTGTGAAGCATTGGCATTACTTAGGTTAAACCATGTGATGATTTTCATAAGCCTTGATTTTTTAAACCATTCTATATCGCCTTTGAGTCATCATTCGTTTCTTGCAACGATTTACACCAGTTTACACCAGTTTAAACCAGAAAATAGCACTTAACAAGGCGTTTTAGCCACTAATTTCGGCGAATTTTAAAAAATCATTAACAAAAGATTAAGAGCTTAAATTTAGGGATTATGTTAAAAATAGTGCTTTTGAGGAATGCATTTATTTTCATTATATTTCAAAATTTAAAGCCCTTTGATTTTTTTCTCGGAAACTGGAAGGAATTAAAACTTTAAAATATATGCATATTCTAGATATTATGGCCTAATATATTTTGCCAAAATTTTAATTTTTTAAAAAAATTACTTTTTGAGATATCCTTGTCCGAAAATTATAACGGGGTGTTGTAATCACCTTAAAAAAAGAAAGCAAGCAGTGACAGCTTCAGAAAAACTACTCTAAGAACAATAATTTTAAATAACTATAAAATTTGCCAAATATTTTATTGTGTGTAACTTTTATAAATCTGTTTTGAAACTTTGCCTAAATTTGAGTAAATCTTTTGAAAATTCTTCTGAAATATCTGTATAATATTTTGCGTGAAGAACTTGTCCCATTTGAAACACATCATCATCATCACTGGTATTAACTAAAATTTTGGGATCTAAACATCTAAAACAGTCAGATATTTCTCTTATACTAGTGGATCTACTATAGACTTGATTTTAGTGATGCCGCGAGACGAGAGATTCTCGTCTCTCGTCACGTCTTATCTCGTTTTGAACGAGACGAGAGAAACATTTTCTCTCGAAAACAGGTTCGAGACGAGACGAGAGAGTGTTATCTCTCGACGAGAATTCCTCGTTTCTCTCGAGCTCTATGCACCGTTTGGTGCCATATTTTAAAAAGAGTTGAAATATCTGTAAAATGTCAATTCACCGTGGTGTAGAGGAAAGGAGGACAATCTCATACGGTTGTTTATCTCAAAAAGTGTCCCCCAAAAAGTATAAAGTTAAGATGGCGCTCGTATACTAGAAGGGAAAGATCCAATGATATATAGTTATATAGATAACTCACCCATATCTAAATAAGACGACGAAAAGCACTATTGTCGTCTATTTTCAAAAATTCTCTACGATTATAAACTCAGTCGTTTTTCACTATGGCTTTTCATGATATAGTTTTTAGACTATACCCTTACTTCTACACTCCATATATATTGATTAGCAATATAAGTATAACTCTATATATCATTAGTGTCATTATGTGATCTGAATTATGACTGTCGGCGTCTCTCTGGTACAGAAGGATCTTAATTTTATACATTTTGAGGGACACTTTCTGTATACAAAGATACTTCTCCTTACCTCAACACCCCATAATTTATATTTTGAATTATGCAATGTCTCATTCTTTTTAGGTGGATTCTACCCTTTTTTAGTTTTGGTTACAAAAACGATGTGCAACTTAAAGATATCTATAACGTTTCCAAGAGCGACCACTCACAAATATGGGGTGATAAGTTACAAAAGTTAGTATTTTATTTAAAAATTAAAAGGAATCAGGTAAGTTTGTCCTTGATCGAAAACAAAGTTCAATTATATCATAGCTATTTAGAGATGGGCAGTAACAAATCGATAAATGTACTTTATATTTACGGATTTGTTATTTTAAATTTTAATGTAACACACCTAGAACTAACTTAAATCAGTTATATCCGAACTTCGATTTTCGTATAATGACCTTAGATAATATATGTACAGATAGGCTACCCCTGTATAAATCTATACAATGTTGAAGTCGCTCTAATTAAATCATTGTTTCTTTTTCTAATGCAGGCTTTCTCGTTCATATTAGAATATTCAGCAGTAGCGTACGTAAACGGATTGCATTGGGTTATTTTAAATGTGAAAATAGTGACTGCAAATAGATTAAAAAAGTACAAAATAATGTTTTAAAAGATAGGTACGTTTTTAATGAACTGAAAATAAAATATGACATTATTGTCATGTTAAAAAATATAATATAGTATATTATGCAACGATCATGTAATGATGGTTATTAATACACGAGCATTAACCGGGATACGAAACGAGCCAAAGGCGAGTTTCGTATGGTTTATGCGAGTGTTTTAATAACCATTACATGAGAGTTGCATACGCTATTTTTTCTACACCCGATAAATAATCAAGACCTATAAATATTATATTTATATTGGTATTGAACACAATAACAGTAATTACTCGTATTTCTATAAAAAATTCTACAAAATTGTAATTAATGGTATTACTTCAGGTATTGGTATTTCCCTAGATTTTTGCGGTAAAATATTTTGTACTGTATTTTCTGCTTTCTCCGATATGTGTGGAGGAGTCTTCTATATCGCTAATATCAGACATTTTAATATTATAATTATCGAAGTTTAGCTACCTACGAAAATTTAATACGTTTTGACAACTAAAATAATTACATAGGAACCTAGGACAAACGTCAAACAGCATGCTTGATTGAAAAATTGTAGGTTTCTATTGATTAAAAATCTGTATCGTAATGAAAAATCTGTATCATAATGGGTATCATTATGAAACGGATTTTGGGCATATAAGTGCATTATTATAATACGGGTGTAGAAAAAATATCTTATTGCTTCTAAAATATTTAGAATTACAGCAAGGATTTGGAATTCTATAAAATATCTATACCTGTTGAAAAGATATACAATGGTAGAACTGAAGAAATATATAAAGCATTTAATTTAAACATGACAAAATATTCCTAATAATAAAATAAACCAATACACAGGGTGTTTCATAATATATGCGAAGGACATCAGGAAGTAATAGCTCGTCCAAAAATATGAAAAAACGTTTTTATTAACTTACCCCCTAAAATGCACCATTTTCGAGATAGAGGGTGTTGAAATTAAAAAAAAAAAATTCTACCCCACTGGAAAAAGTACGGTTTTGAGACACCCATTTGAACGGCCAATGTTTTCTACACAAAAAAGGTACTCTTGGTCATACGCTCTAAAGTCGACCGTTTTCGAGAAAAATAAAATTTTGTTTTATTTCCAAAAATTGACCATGTATTTCAACATTAAAATTATTTTCCTTTTTTCTCCTAAAACGACGCCCATGTTCTTAGGTAAGAAATAATATTAACGAGTGAAACGTAACCTCACTTCCTCTTTTATATTTAAAATTACATAAAACACAAGTCTTTTCCTAGTATAAAATAAACCCTACAAATCAAAGTCAGTATTAACACCACCATTCTTGAACGAATTGAAGTAAAAACTTAAAAAATTGTCAAAAAATAACTGGAAAGTTAACCATATTTTTTTCAGTATTTGTATTGAGAATGATCCTTATTAATGATTGTTTTCTTAATTTTACAGAAATTGGGAATTAGAATTGTTGAAAAAGAATCCAAGCTTAAAAAGGGCCATATCCAACACGTTTTTAAAACCATATTTCTTCTCTGGTATAGGACTATGTATTCAATATAATTTCTTTAAGTAAGTATTACGATTACATAATTTTACACAATTATCTTTCATAAAATAACTCAGTATAATATTATTACTTTATAACTATTTAGTATGAGAGTAGGGGTTGCCAACCATACTTTATAATAACGTATCCTACTTTATTTCCGATAAATATACTTTATACTTTTGCATACAAATAAAATACTTTTCTATTTTCTAAAACTAAACACTTATTATGGGTAAGTAAGTAGTTACTGATCTATTTATGGATACATAAGTTAAAACAAAATGTACTTATGATGTACTTAAACGATTAATAATTACCTTAGAATATAGTCAGGAAGGAGGAATCCTAAACGACCTTGAAATCGCGATGGTATCTAATTTTGACAGTAAACTAGACGAATATGGCGACAAGTGTTTCCGGTCTACCAGTGACGTACTGTCATAAAGGGGCATAGAGAAGAAAATAATAAATTCTCATTTGCATATTATCTAAATTTACCGATTTTTCTCATTTTAACGAATTGCTATTTTCTTGCGAGAAGTTTGCATTTTTTATTTACCTTTTATGTGAATAAATTTTACTTTAAAATTGCATGTTGGGTGGGATAAATATAGGAAAATATTTTTGGGATAATTTATAGAGGGATTTCATTTGAAAAATCAAAGCAATAATGTATTAAAAAAAATATTGACTTTTTTACGTCTTTATTATGGCAATTTCTTTATTAATCTACATTTTACAAATTATTAAGGTTTGAAAAATAAATGTTTTGTAGATACGCGTTAAAAAAAATTAAATATTCTATACTTATATTTAGGTCAAACACCGCTGTGATATTTCTTTCTTAGATGTTTTTGTTGGAGTACATATAAAACTTCCTAATATAGAAGAGAATTTCTGATTATTTTATTAAATAATATTATTAGTATTATTTTTTGCAGGACAATTTTGCATAACCAGGTAAAACACCTTTCCAAGAAAGGATCCTATAACGTAATAATGATTCTATATTTTTAAATGTACATTCAACGCATTATTTGTATGCTTAGTCCAGTTATGATGAGAGTCAACTTGTACTCTAAGGTATTTGATATCATTTGTAATACTTATATGAAACTACTGAACGTTACCTTTTATTGCTTCTATAGGAAGAGGCCATCTTTTTGTAACTGTATAATGGAACAACATAAGTTTTATCAAAGGTTTGTAAGTTTTTATAATTAAATCATTCGAAAATTTTTATATGATCTGTTTCTATTAATAATTTTAATCAATTCCAGTTCTCTGAATTTTACAGAACAACTGTGTCGTCTGAAAAACTTATAATATTTCCATCTGTATTTAAACGACAAATTATTTAAAATAAAATTGAACAATATAGGACCTAAGACAGTGTCTTGAGGCATGCCATATGCTACTTATTTCCTTACTTGAGATATTATTAATTCTATTTGTAATCGTTTTTGTAAATACCTTTGTAATAAATTATATAGGGTGCCTCACATTCATATAATAAACTTATACGAAAAAATCGGCACATGATATGAATGAATTTATTTACTTGCTTTAAAATGGCGTGAACACAAAAAAATTAAGATATTTTGGCTCACAATTTGTTTGTCGCATGAACTCAAGCCATAACTTTTTTTTGAGAATCTTTAGGAAATCTGAAAATTGTCTACCTGGGATTAATTTATATAATTTGTAAATCTAGAATCTTTAAAAAATCTGAAAATTGTTTACTTGCAATCAATTTATTAATCTAAATTAAACAATAATATTCATTTTAACAACCACATAAATATTTTAAAATTGCATAAAGGAATTCTTTAAATAAAAGTATGTATACCCTATAAACCATGAGACTACGCCTATGAGCACAGTTGATCGCAGACGCACTTACCGTGTTTGTTTAGAGATTTAAAACATTAAAAATTTTAAAAATGTTTAATGTGGTTGAAAATTGAGAGAACAAAATATTTGCTTATGAAATGTAGATTATTCCTTTCTACTTTTAGCTGTGCTGCTATATCCACAAAACGAACAACTGACCATATTGTCTTGTTTGTTGTTTAACGCGGAAAATTTAAAATTAACAGTAATACTTAATAAATACTAAAACACAAAACACTTTTCAAAAATGTCTACAAAACATACGCTTGATAAAAGTTTAAATTAACACAAATTATTAACAAATTTTAATCACTGAAGTTATAAACCAATTTTAGAAACCATTTATCATATGATGATGAGTAATCCATAGTTCAACATGGCTACCACTGCCGTCAGATCTATTAGATTAACACGGACATGGCATGCTCCTTCCTGACTATATATGTTCTAAGATAATTACTGAATGAAATGTTAGATGTCAGATATGAACGGTGACATGTATCACAGATGTCACTATCGACGAAATTGTATTAAAATTGTGCGTTGTTTTTGTTTATAATATTTAAAGAATCCATTTTAAATTAAATATTATTATTTACTCCCTGTTCCCCCACTTCAGCTTACATTAAGATAGTTTTTTCGGTGATGAATCTGAAGTTACAAAAAAGAGAAACAGAGCGTCGATAAATTTAAATTAAAGTCTCGATTGTAAAAACAAGCTTTAGAACTTTCAAAGATAGAAAAAAAATTGTTAGCCTATGCTTGAAGCACACAAAAATATGTTTTTAAGGCAATAAAAACATACATTTCAAAAATACTTTTTTGTTTTATCTTCCAAATACTTAATTTTTACCTATTCAAACAATTTTATAAGTTTTTTTTTTGTTGAAAAAGTTGGCAGCCCGATATGAGAGTCAGCGACCGCCAGACCTAAGTTATTCGCGATTCAAATTAATTTTTGCGCGCCTGTCATTTGTCAACTATAAGTAGGATGTTTGTTTATTTACATGTGTGTGGGATTTTGTATTTGTGATTTTTTAACTGTTTTTAGATAATATTATCGTTATAATAGTGTTTTTGAGTTTCATTTAGTGTTAATTTAAGTTTAGTTTTCGTGCTTTCGGTATAAATATAATATTTATCATGTGTAGTATGAACTAATTTGTTGGAAATATTGACCTATTGGTTGCTACAAGAACATCTAGAAATATGTATTTACTAAACCCAGGACATGTTTTATTATGTGGTTTAAAGGACATATCGGGTACCAAACGTTTATTATTGATGAACTTATTTAAAAATCTAACTATCCTTATTCTTATATCATGAAGTGAATTGTTTAGTACTTTGTATACATGTAAATGGTAATAAAACCGTCACAAATCAGATTGCAGTTTGATTCTAAACAAAGTTTTGCAAAATTTCAATATTGTGAATTTGTAGATACTCGTTTATCGTAAGAAACAAAATTTTATGACTTGCACTTGGAAAATAATGAATATGTACTTCAGTTTTGATTTTGACATTAACACCATATAGATTGCAATTTGCTGGGGACTTTTTAGCAGATTTCATTTTTAATTTAAACACTATTACATACTATAATAAATAAACAAATTTAAAGCTAAAAAGTAAGAAAAAACTCGAATTGTAATTGATACAAATTAAAATGTAAACAATGAACACGAACGCCAATGTTGCCAAATGATGAACTGATTTTGTCTCTGACTGATTTTAAAACAAAATTAATAAATGAACTGAAATTTAAAAAAAATCAATATAATTAATCAATTTTATAAAAAAAAATCCTTAAATAAATATAGAGTATGATTACATATTACTAGACACAAATTTATGTCTTATCCGTTTCTTCAAGAACTAAAATCCGACGACGTAACGAAATTTTGCTGCATCTGGCAATACTGAACGATATCCTACTTATAGGGACCTTCTACTAATTTCCTCCAGAGGGCGTATCACTTAGCTTGAATCGCGAATAGTATGAAAGTTAGGATTTTTATTGTGTGTGCATATTATCATTGTATAAAGAACTATATAGGATAATCGCCATGTAAAAGTTATTGGAGGCAATCGCGCCCGACATCTATTGGTAAAATCATTGAACTAACGATTTTATTTACTGGTTAGATACGCCCTCTACGTCAGATGTTAGAACTTTATAAGTGACAATTTCGTCAAATTAATTGTCAGTATATATTTTTTTAGTTATTTAGATTAAATATAAATAAAAATTAGTGATTCTTGTAAAGAATCAATAAATAATAGCATTCCACAAGATATTCGTCTATATTTAGAAATAAACTGAGATTTTAATGAAACTAAAAGCAGTCTGATTATCAGCGTTACAAAGTAAAACTTTTTCATAAGTCTTCATAACGAAAATTTAGAGTACTTGTCTACGAATCGAAGGGTTCCGAGTTCAAACCCCCGAGTGGATACTTTTTTTTATTATTTAATTTTATTTTCTAAATTCTTAAAACTTAAATTAATTTCAAAACATTAATTTTACGTTAATAACATCTAAATCTTCATGCTCAAATTTCGTCTTTTTGCTATGGCCACTCGGGATCATCAAATTATAATAGAATATTATAAGGTCCGGTAATTTTATTTAAATCTTTTGACAATGAAACTAAAAATGTGTGTGTCTACAGGAGAAATATACCGAAAATAACAAGTATTTAAATGTTGCTAATAAATTTGTATTAGGTATGTGTTAAAAGAAAATACATCATTTTGGATTTGAATATACAGTGTGTCGCAAAATGTCTGCACCAAGAAAACGCACCAAATTACATTTTTATTAATCTACGTAAAAAAGTGCGAATTAAATTTTTTTTACTGAAAATTTATGGTACCTACCTAACAGGGTCATTCATTATAAATTATCCTCCCTTTATGCTATAATTATTATTGTACTTATAATGTTTACATTGACCGAATTTTGTAAAAATGTCATCAAATGACCATATCAGTGGTGTGCATATTTCACAGGATATATATATTATTCAAATTTCGAAATGATCTTTATTCTTTCCTGATTAATTAAACGTCGAATATCATAGATAATCTATGTCTAATATCTTATAAATATTTACACTTTTTC